AGTCCTCATCACTCTGGTCTGAGTTGCTCTATCTGTGCAAGCAGGACTCTAGAATGATCTACGTTCCACAGGATCTGCCACCAGAAAGCTTCTTCTCCACCCTGCATGTAGGTGATGACCTGGGTTCTGCAAAAACATATGCTGGCAAAGGGACCTTGGAGGCCCAATGAGTCAAGATTCAGTTCGATTCTCACTCACAGACAGGTCATAACCACCCTTTTCAGCCAGAATCGGCCAGATGTAGCCCTGGGTGGGGACAAAGAGCTCCAGGAGTTCAGAGTCAGACTTCTACCCCAGTTAACAAAATAGGTCCCCGGGAGGTGAGGAGCCCTGGCACTGGATGCCTCAGAGCTCTGTGGCCACCCATTAGTAAGGGTTCTGGAGAACTCACAAGGAGTTGGTTCTGTCCTTCTACCGTGTGGGTTCCAGAGATCAAACTCAGGCCCTCAGGTTTGGCAGCAGCACCATTACCTTGCTAAATCTTTGCTGCCCCAAACTTGTTCTCTTTTATCTTCTTGTTTTGTATATAGAATAAATTACTCATTTCATAATAAGGGAGACTTGTTAAGCTATCTTTTTATTAATTTTTTATTTTTATCTTATGAATATGAGTGTTTTACATGCATTTATGCAAGTGTACACGTGTCATGCAATGCCAGTGGAGGCCAGAAGAGGATGGTGGATTCTCTGGAACTAGAGTTATGGACCGTTGTTAACTACCATGTGGGTGCTGGGAACCAAACCTCGGTCCTCGGTAAGAACACCAAGTGCCATTAATTGCTGAGCCATCTCCCCACCCCCAGTTAAGCCATCTTTTTAAAAATTACATTTTTATGTGTATTGAACACTGGTCCAGAGCACCATAATCTCCTTACCATGCCTCCTAGGAGGCCCCTTTCTGATGAATTTACTGAGGAGGAGGGCATTTTTTTCTTTTTCTTTAATTTTTTAAAATATTTTATTTATTATTTGCGTTTTATGTGTATGCATGTATTGCTTGCATGTAGGTAAGTGCACCCGTGTCATGCAGTGCCCAAGAAAGACAGAAGAGGCTGTTGGAGCCCCTGGAACTGGAGTTACGAACAGTTGTTAGCTGTCATGTGGGTGCTGGGATTTGAATTCAGGTTTTCTGCAAGAACAGCCAGTGTTCTTAACCGCTGAGCCATCTCTCCAGCTTCTTTTTTCTTTGTATTACATTATTTATTTATTTGTGCACATGTGGAACCCAGAGAACAACTTGGAGAAATAGGCTCTCTCCTTCCACCATATGGGGCCTGGGAATTGAACTCAGGCCTTCAGACTTGGCAGGCACCTCTACCCATTTAGTCATCACACCACAACTCCCACCCCAGGCCATTTTTAGTCTTTGTTTTGAGATATGGTCTCACTAAGTTGCCTGGGCTGGACCTAAACATATGATGTAGCCCAAGCTGGCCTTGAACTTGAAATCCTTCCACTTTAGTCTCTTAAATAGCAGGGATCTGCACCACCATCCCCTGCCAGCAAAGAGGGAATTCTTTCATGGATATGTCAGCTCCTGGGCAAGAGTACAAATCCCAAACAGACTGAAAACTCTCATTGGAAGCAAGTCAAATTTTTCTATTAGCTTGCCAGATTTGTTTTGTTTTAGTTTCATGGAATTTGGTTTGGTTTGGGGGTTTTGTGGGAGTTTTTGTTATTTTTGTTTGTTTGAGGTTTTTGAGTCAAGTTCTTAACTATGTAGCCCTGACTGGCCTGGAGGTATATGGACCAGGCTAGTCTCTGCTTCCTAAATGCTGGGATTGAAGGCATGTGCTATCACACCCAGATTTAAAGCCAGGTATACTAGTAAAATCTCTAATCCCAGAATTTGGGAAACTGAGACAAGAGGACTTGGAGTTCAGTTGTCACCTTAGCTACACAGGGAATTGGAGGCTAGCCTGGACAACACGAGATCCTGTCTCAAAAAAAAACAAAAAAGAGCCAGGTATGGTGTCACATGCCTTTAGTTCCAGCACTCAGAAGGCAGAGGCAGGCGCATCTCTTTGAGATCAAGGCCAGCCTGGTCTACATAGCTAGTTCAGATCTCTAGGAGATCAAAGTCAGCCTGGTCTACATAGTGAGTACTAGGCCAGCTGGGGCTACAGGAAGACCCTGTCTTGTTAAATAAATAAATAAATAAATAAATAAATAAATAAATAATAAAATTCAGATTCCTGGTTCATTTTTTGTTGTTGTTACCACCTCAACTATCAAAAGAAAGGAAAGATTGTATCACAGGTCATGTTTCTCAATTTTTTGGTTGGTTGCTTTTTGAGACAGGGTTTCACTCTAGCCCAGACTGGCCTTGTGCTCAAAATCTTCCCGCCCCAGCCTCCTTAGAAGCTAGGTTAACAGGCCACCAAGTCCTGCAGGCTCTTCTGTTTAAATTCTGCTTACGTTATCATATGTTTACCCTTCCTTGTAAGTGAACTTCAGAACTTAACCATTTAGGTCTATGGGAGATCAGAGTCCTTCTTGATAAGCCCCTAGCACACTCCTGTTGGCTTAGGGAAAAGCTGTTTTTCTGAAAGTCAAGTGTCACAGCAGATGGGTCAGAGCTCCCCTGGATTCTATTTCATCTTCTTTTTAAAATTACCTTTATTTATTTGAATGTATGTGTGTGTCCATGTGTGCACGTGTGCACTCACACGTGGAGGTCAGAGAACAACTTGTGGGAATTGGCTCTCTCCTTCCACCATGTGGGTCCCAAAAATCAAATTCAAGTAGTCAGACTTGGTGGCAAGAACCTTTACCCACTGAGCCTTCTCACAGGCACCTCTTTTTTTATTTTAAGTATATCATTGTATATTATTATTGTTATTATTATTATTATTATTATTATGTGTATGTCATTGCAGGCACACATATCCCAAAGGATAATGTGTGTGTGTGTGTGTGTGTGTGCGTGTGTGTGTATGTGTGTCAGAGGACAGACAACCTTCAGGAATCAGTTCTCTCTTTCCATAGATTCCAGGATCAAACTCAGATTTGTCAAGTTTGCATAACAAGCACTTTTACCTGCCCAGCCATCTCACTGGACCCGGGTTCCTATTCTCAATCCTTAGCTTTTGTAAGACAACACAAGATCTGTCTTCAGTTCTTTTATTGCTGTTTCAGCTGGGGATGTAGTTAGTTGGTAGAGTGCTTACCTAGCATTCATGAAGCCTTGGGTTTGGTCCTCAGCATTGCATAGATCAGGAGTGGTGGTGGTACATTCCTGTAATTCCAGCACTTGGGAAGTGGAGGCAGAGGATCAGATGATCAATGTCATCGTTTGCCACATAGTAAATCTGAGGCCAGCTTCAAATTGAGGTTATATAAGACTCTGTCTGCCAGGCATGGTGATGCATGCCTTTAGTCCCAGTACCCAGGAGACTGAGACAGGCAGATCTCTGTGAGTTCAAGGCCAGCCTGGTCTACATAGTGAATTCTAGGCCAGCTGGGACTACAGGGAGACCCTGTCTCAAGACTGTGTCTTAATTTTTTTTTTTTTTTGCCAACCAGGCATGGTAGCACATAACTTTAATCCCAGCACTCAGGAGACCAAGGCAGGTAGATCTCCCAGCCTGGCTGGGATATATATAGTGCATCCCAGGCTGGCTGGGACTGTAGAAAACACTGTCTCAAAAAAAAAAATTTCTGTGTGTCATTCTGAACATGGTGGTGCACATCTGTAACCCTAGCACTCAACACTCAGAGGTGGAAGACAGAGGATAAGAAATTCAAGGTCCTCCTCAACTGCCCCGGCCCATGGGGTCTGCAACGAGGTACCTGGATTGGGGGGTGGGGCCGTGGATGAGGAAAGCGACAAGAGAAATGGAGACAAGACAGCACTCTGATCAAGTCTCGTTTATTGCAGCTCAAGCATGGGGTTAAATAGAGAATGAAAACAAAGGAGCAAAGAGTGAGTAATCATATCAGCAAGAACACAGGGGCCCAGATGTACCCTAAGGGAGGAATCTATTGATTAACGGAGAACAGGGCTATACACTGGAAAGGAGAACAAGGCCCTGGGCCAAGGTTGTGGGCCCCGGCTATGAGCCAAGGTTGTGGGCAGAATGGAGAGGTCACCAACTCAGGTCTGTCAGAGGTTTCCAGCAGTTTAGAGAAATGGCTGAGCCTCAGGCTCCCAACATTCAACTATATAGAGAATTCCAGGTCAGACTGGGTATCACAAAAAAAAAAAAAATTTGTTTTGTTTTAGTACTGAAATGTATCTCAGTGGTCAAACACTTGCCTAGCGTATGGCCTTTGAATCCTAGTCCCAGCATAGCCCCCTAGAATAATAATTAAATAGTAGCTAGGTATGTTGTCGCAAACTTGTAATCCCAGTATTTGGGAGACTGGGGCAAGAGGACAGTAAATTCCAAGTCATACAGTGAGTTCTTTGCCAGTCTGGACTACATAGTAAGATCTTGTCACACATACACACACAAAAAAAACCTTTATTCTATGGTCCTTTTTCATCACTCATCATTCTTGGAGAGGATTTTTGTTTTGTGTTTGCTTTCAATTTTCTTCCCTAGAGAATGACAGAGAGGTTAACGGCCATCACGTGGCCATCACGTGGCCAATCACCACACTTTTCAGCCATAACATCTTGTAACTGTAATTTCAGTCCAATTTGCTACCTAACTGACAAACTGGCCAAAGTACCAAGAAAGCAGACAAGATAACATTGAATTTCTTCTTTTACTAAGTTAGAACATTGTGTTATACAAATGGGTATTAAAAGAAAATTAATCTCCAGGTGACATATTGAAACAACTTAAAAAGAACTAAAATAGTCAGTTCTAACTGTTCCCAGTATTCAGTAAATCTCAGTTGGAAGGAAGAAGGAAAACTGAATTCCCTGTTTTCTTGACAGTTAAAGATGAGTTGCTAGACACCTAAATTCCATGAAAAGACAGCCCTCTCCTTCCACTTACTCTTCTGTCACTCTGAAGTCACGATGGGGAGCAAAGCAAGCCAGCCAGAACTGGATTATAAACATGCTTTATTGTAAGTAGATAATGAACACCAAGAATTATAAAGCAAATGGAATTTCAAACAGGTCAAAAGAGACCAAAAAAAAGTTAAGATATCCCTGTAGAATAGTGCAAGATAAAGGGCCTCTCTCAGATTGTTAGCAATAAGAGACAAGTATTCACAACAGAATAACCAACACAGTTCTGCATCAAACCTACTTCCAGCCAGGTAACCAAGTTCTATGTTAATCACACTCCCATGTCATCTCTGTCATGTGAAGCAATGGGATTTTCCTTTTTTTAAAATTTATGTTTATTTTATGTATGAGTGTTTTGCCTGCATGTAATTAAGTGTACCTGCAATGCCTGAAGTAGCCAGAAGAGGGTTCTGGATCCTCTGGAACTGGAGTTACAGATGGTTGTTAGCCACTATGTGGGTGCTGGAAACTGAATCCAGATCCTCTGTAAGAGCAGCCAGTGCTCTTAACCACTGAGCCATCTCTCCAGCCCCAAATTTGGGGAATATTAAAAGGAGCTGGAAACAATGACCTGGCTGAGCCCTTGGAGTGGCTGGTGGCATCCACGCAGATTAGTCTTTACTGGGGGACACTAGTCTCCTTCATAGTTTTCATTATCCAGTCAAGGTAGTTCCTCACCTTTGTGTAGATCCCATAGGTCCCACACTTTTTCCCCCAGGACACCAGGCCAGCTACATAGAATTTAGGGTTCTTTTCATTGGGGACCTGCAGAGCAAAAGCCCCACCACTGTCCCCCTGACAGCTATCAACACCCTTCTCCCCAGCACAGATCATGTTGTCAGAGAAAACATGGGCCTCAGCCCTAGCTCTAGGATTATCCTCTCTCACCTGCTGGCACTTTTCTAAAGTAGTTACCGGTAACTTTGCCCCTCGGAGTTGGGCAACAAAATTTCTCCTCTCTGTTTGGCCCCACCCTGAGATCAGTCCCAGGTCACCCACTGAGGGGTTGTATGCTGAGGATGTGCCGGGCAGGCAGATAGGGGAAGCGTTCGGTCCCATTTTCACAGGGTCTTTCAGTTGCACCAGTGCAATGTCATTGTCAAAATTGGTTCGTGTGCTTGGGTCATCCACGTGTTTCCAGTCTGGATGAATAATCACACGTTCAGTGGTGAGCTTCTGAGCATTTTCTAGAGCTCCCATTTTTGCAGAGGTAGACCCAACATACATAGATGGGTCAGAGATTCCGTCCACGACGTGGGCAGCCGTCAACACCCAGTATTCATCAATAAGAGCTCCACCAGCCCTTGGGCTCTGAAAGAAGACTTGCCAGGGGAAACTTTGAATCTTTGCAGGGTATCCTCCAAATATCCTCTGTGGTATTTTAAAGGGTTCAGTGGGGACTCCGCAGACTAGAAAGGATTAAGAACAAGGTGAGGAGGGGCAAGAAAAGATGCTGGCATTCTGAAAACTCAGTCATTTAAATATTTTACCCAGTGGATGGCAGACTTCTCCAGCATGATGTAATCTATACTATTTGGTCAACCACCACCATATCTGGCTTATCCTAGCCTTACCTAAACATCTCCGTTTGCCAGTGTCTCTGGAAACAGAGGATACTGTGAGCAGGCTCATAGTAGAGATTAACTCAACAGGGGTATATGTGGATTACTGAGTACAGATAAGATAGTGTTTTACACTGTCTACAGCTTGAGGCACACTTCATGCCCAGGTTCAGCATATGAAACCAGGGACCCAACTGGGAACCGGTGTTGGGAAACTTTTACCTCACATAGATTGTAGAGATACTTTCCACTTTCTACCTTCTACTGATGCAACCCTTACTGTGAGAGAGAAAGAGAGAGAGAGAGAGAGAGGGAGAGGGAGAGGGAGAGGGAGAGGGAGGAAGTACAGGAAGTACAGGAAGTTGTCAGAAAAGAGAGAGAGAAGAGAGCACTGTATAGCCCAGATTTGCCTCCAGCTCACAATCCTTCTACCTCAGCATCCACAGTGCTAGGATTACAGTATGCACCTCTGTGCCTGGCTCTTCTGCATTTCCTTAATGACTAATGAGACACCAACTGTTAATGCTGGCTGACTATTCTATTTCCTTCATGTCAGCCTTGATGTGGTTTAGAGGACTCCCACAGCTCAGAATTACCACCACTTCACTGTGCTGACCCTGGAAAGCCAGGACTAGGTCTTTTTCTGAGAGAGTTACAGCTACTTTCAAAAGTGACACCTACTCCTTTCATGTGTGGCTATGATCTCCACCTACACCACAACCCTGATTACCTGGAACACATTTGGGCAGCTCAGTGCCCAGTACCTCATTCACCCAGCTCCCATTAGCAGCACAGCGATATTCCCCTGCAAAAACACAAGGAACACAGGTCACATCCACCACTTCTCTCTCCATTCCCCTCTTTCATGCACAGCCTCGGCTCGTCTGGGATTTGAACAGGGAACTAGATCAAATCATCTGAAAAAGAAACTTGAGCCAGGCATGGTGGCACTGGCTTGTAATCCCAGCACTTAGGAGGTAAAACCAAGAGAGAGGATCAGGAGTTCAAAGCCAGCCTCAGCCACATAGCAAATTCAAGGCCAGCCTGAACTACATGAAACCCTGTCACAAAATCAACAGAGCCAGGTATGGTGGCTGTGCATGCCTTTAGTCCCAACACTAGAGAGGCAGAAGCAAGCTGATCTCTGCAAGTTTGAGGCCAGCCTGGCCTACATAGCGGGTTCCAGACAGGCCAGCCAAGGCTGTATAGTGAAACTCTGTCTCAAAAAAACCAAAAACAAAACAAAACAAAGGGAAGGAAGGAGAGAGAAAGAGATGGGGTGTGGAGGGGGACCAACCAACTCAACTCCCTTGAATGATCCTTTAGAACATAGCCTGCCCAACATGACAACTGTGTCCTTAGATTAAGCCAAAGAATAACAATATTTGTGCCATCTCTCTTACTTCTCTACAAATTCTCCAACACAGAAAGATTGTGCTGTTCACCCTCCAACTCCTTCACAGCCCTCCCCTTCCTCTTCTCTAGGAAAAGAAACCTACCACCTTCTTCATGTTCCATGTAGTAATATGGTTCTTCACAAGTGTAGTGAATGACGGAACCAAATAAACTGTTTCCTGAATCTTCGACTTTACCGTTCTCGATGAGCTCTGGAGCACCACAGTCCACAGCTACAAGAGGAAGGGAAGAAACGGATGGTCAGGGCAGCCACACCCTCCCAGGAACAGTCACGGGTCCATTCCGTCCTTGCACATATCCGTAAGCACACCCATGAGGCCACTTTCCATGTCAGCCTCTTTATAGCATCTTCTCCAACTGGCATCACTCAGCTCTCCAGCCCTCTGAGACCTGCCAATACACCTGTCCCTTGAAAGATACCAGGAGGAACCTAGTCTCTCACTGGTTGGCAAAGGCTTCTGTGAGAGCCAGGAATATGCTCCCTTAAAGCTTTTAATTACCTATCCCATAACCCCTTTCTTTAAAAGAAACACGTTAGTCTAATTGGCCTGGGACTAGATGAGGGATAGGCCATCTTCCATGACTGGCTTTCCTTCAAAAACCCAACCCACAGGCCTAAGAGAAAACCATACATTTGAATTTTGATGTATTAATTATTCAGTTCCCTTTGGAAGGAAAAAAGAGAGTTCCACTTTGAAGAGACATACGTTGACATTCCAGTTTAGAATTAGTCCATTTTCCATTGCTTTGGCAAATCGAATAGAAAGATGTGGAGCCAACACTTCCCTGGAGAATAAGAGACATCACAATTAATTTATAAAAACATATGGAAAATCAAATCCCCAAATGGAATTGACCTCTGGCCTTGGATCAATGAGGAACCCTTATCAAAAAGAGGTTGGAACATCTTAGAAAAATGACCCAAAGCAACCAGGAGTTGGGACTGAAAGGTAGCTTTGCCCCAGCTCCCCTTCCACAGGAAGACAGGCAGAAAGGCCAAGCCAGCCAAGGAGCTCCAGGACTCACAAGACAGACTGAAGACTCTGAGCTGTTCTTTCTATGGCAAAGGTGTCAGTATCTTTAATATATTTTATTTAAATATTTTGCTATTTTTATTTTATGTGTATGAGTGTATTGCCTGCATGTATGTGAGTACACCCGTGTTGTGCCATGCCACGGAGGTCAGAAGAGGGCTTTGGATTCCCCTGGAACTGGAGTTAAGGACAGTTCATAGCTGCCATGTGGGTGCTGGGAATCAAACCCAGGTCCTGTGCAAGAGCAGTCAGTGCTCTTAACTGCTGAGCCAGTTCATAGCCCATGTGGGTGCTGGGAATCAAACCCAGGTCCTGTGCAAGAGCAGTCAGTGCTCTTAATTGCTGAGCCATCTCTCCAGCCCCAATGTTAATATCTTGATCAAGCAGGGACAGTCTCACCCAATCTGAAGCTGGAAACCAAGGAAAAGCCTGAATAATACTTTACCTCCACAACTTCGAACCCTTCCACGCAGGTTATTTTCACCACATCTTTAAACACATATTTTGCCTTTTCAGGTTCCCAAACAGAATTGGCAGTGACTTTTTTGGGACAAGGGATTGCTTGGAGAGGACAGAAAATGGGACAAAAATAAAAAGTTACTAAATAGTTGGAAACTGCATTATTTACATAATTCTCACATGGGTTGTTTTGTTTGTTTGTTTGTTTGTTTTTGAGAAAGGGTGAAAGGATCTCCCTGCATAGCCTTGGCTAGACTGGAGCTTGCTGTAACTACGGCAACACTCCTGCTTCTGCCACCCCTTGTGCTTGGATTATAGCTGCATAATACCATGTCTAACCATTATCTATCTGACTCGTGTGTGTGTGTGTGTGTGTGTGTGTGTGTGTGTGTCTGTGTCTGTGTCTGTGTCTGTGTGTATCCATGCAGAGGCCAGAGCAGGACACTGAGTGCTTGCTCCACTTTCTCCCTTGAAATAGGTATATCACTGCACCTAGAACTTGCCATTTTTTGCCTAGGTTGGCTTGACCACCAAGCCCCAACTATCCTCCTGGCTCTGCCCACCTACTCTCAAACACTGGGGATACATGTGTGCATGAGCATGCTTATATTTTTATGTGGGTGCTTAGGATGCAAACTCAGATCCTTGTGTTTGCACGGCTAATGCTCTTACCCACTAAACTATCTCTTGAGCCCCATTCTCACACTTTCTAAAATCACTTCATTGTCCTCAATTTCAGCTTCTAATATTCCAATATAACAGATGTTTAAAATAACATGGTACCACTAACACCCCAAGTTATCTGCATTTTCAGATCTAGTTGAAAGATTATAGATGTTGTAGAGGCCCTAGCAACTATAGACAAAATTAGATCTTTCTGAGGAGCTAAAGTATCTTGGGACATTCACAAATAGCAATCTCCCTATTTTGATTTTACCTTAACCAAGGACTTTGCCATCACTGACCAAACAGGCACTTCTAGGCTACTTACGATCTCCATGGTAACGGAGCTTCCAGCCTTTTCCTTGCCCTGTTAGGTCAGTTTGAAAAACAATATCAAGAGTATTACTCTTGGTTTCAATACTTAGTGGCCCAGGGAATCCATTACCACAGTAAGGACCAAATTGTTGATTTCTTGCAGCAAACTGAAAAGAAATAAGATAATAAAATCAGGAGAGAAAAATCTAAAGGAAAGAATTAAATGGAAAGTATGAATATAAGGGAAATAATAGATGTATACAATAAGAAACAGGCAAAAAAAGAAAAAGAATCAGCAGGAAGAAAGATATTTTTTATTTCAAGAGCTGGGCCTGATGGCACAGGCTTGTAATCTCAGCTACTTGGGAGGCAGAGGCAAGAGGATCACAAGTTCAAGACCAGTTTGGGCAATTTAGTGAGAATCTGTACCAAAATAAAAGGTTATAAGGGGCTGTGAATGTAGTTCAGTAGGAGAGCACTTGTCTCGCATGCATAAGGTCAAAGGTTCAATCCCCAGGACTGGGAGGGAGGGAAAGAGGGAGAGAGGAAAGGAAGGAGGGAGGGAGGAAGGAAAATAAATGAAAAGAAAGAAGAAGAAATCTCTTACTAGGTAGATAGCTCACATCTGTAATCCCAGCTCTCAAGGGGCTGAGGCAGGAGGATTTTTTTCTTTTGTTTTGTTTTGTTTTTTTTCTGTTTTTGGAGACAAGGTCTCCCTGTCGCCCAAATTGGCCTTGAACTGGTTTTGTAGAGTAGTTGGCCTTAAACTCACAGAGACCCACCTGCCTCTGCCTCCGAATGATGGAAGCCACCACTCTGAGCAAAGCAGAAGGATTTTTGAAAATGTGAGGCCAGCCTGGGCTACAGAACAAAACCCTGCTTCGTGGGAGGAAAATAAAAAGGAGGGGAAGGAGGAGAAGGAGGGGAAGGAAGAAGAGATAATCTAACAGGGAAGGGGAAGTAGAGTGCTTGCCAAACATGCTCAAGGCCCTGGATTGGTACCCACAATCAAAGAGGAGGGTGGAGAAGGAGCAGTCTGGGTAATCTAAATGAGTTGGGGTGGGAGCCAAATTAATCACGCACAACTAAACTGTCACGGCAGTTCCCTTCTGAGTCAGCTGGTTCCACATCAAAATCTTCTCTCCGCACAGTCACCACCACTTGGAACCCCTCCTCCAGCAGAATCTGGTATTCACACCTTGAGTTCTCCGGGTAGGGGTTGGGATAATTGGGACTTGTGATCTCCCCAATCAGATTGGTGAATACATCCCCACTGCAATTGACTAAGGGAGGAGCAAAAGAGAGAAAGAATGAGTCAAATATAGAGACAAAGAAGTTCCTGCCCTCTTCTAGTCCTTTAGTCATAAGCTAAGAGTCCTCTATTCAGAGTAACAGACCCAGGATGTGTTTCCTGAGTGAAGCCCCAGAGAAGCAGTGTCACCCCAGTGCTTACCAAGAGAGCTAGCCAAGGTCTGGGCAGCTTCCAATGCTTTGCTTCCACCGGAACTTTCGTGGTTGTGAACAGCCCCAAGTAGTCTTGGCACAGCTATCTAGCCTCTATTTTCCAATTAACTAATTTTACCCTGAAGCCTTACATTGGGGTTTGGATCTTAAATATCTGCCAAAGTTAAACATTCTAAAGGCCTGGGTCACTAGCCCATTGGGAGATGATAGACTCTTTGGGAGGTGGGACCTAGTGGGAGAAAGTTAGGACATTGGGGGTGTGGCCTTGAAGAGGATATCGGGACCCTTGCCCTCTCCTCTCTCACTCTTTGCTTCCCAGCTACCATGAGGTCAGCAGCTTTGCCCTAAGGCATGGTTCCCCTCCATGATGCTCTGCCTCACCACAGTAGACAGAACAATGGATCAAACTGGCCAGGGATTGAAATCTCTGGAACCATGAGCCAAAATAAACATTGCTTCCTTTTTATCTCACCTATCATGTCACAGCAATGGAAAGCAATGTTTCTATCATCTCCCTTTCCTGTGGCTCCCCTTCGATTTGTGGATAACTAAGGCCAGGTATCAGTTGAAGGGGAAGCCTAATCGAAATTGGAAGGATAAACTAAGCACTTTCTGAGCCCTCAATTCATTCCAAAGCCAGGGAACATGCATCCTTCTTGATACCAAGCTCACCTCCACAATTCCTCATATCATCATGGAGAAAGTATTCTGGGGGACAGGAGCAGAAATAACCACCAATGAAGTTGTTGCAGAAGTGGCTGCAAGGGACATCTGTAAAATCTGTGCACTCGTCTACATCTACAAAAAGTAGAGAGAAGTTGATGTCAAGCACAAAGACCTGGAAGAAAAAATGAAGTTAAGCCCAAACTAGGAAAAACAGAAAAGGACTCCCAAAGCCAGGTATGGCAGCTTGAGTACACTCAGTACTCAGTTGGCTAAAGCAGAAAGAGGGACACGAGTTCAAGACCAGCTTGGGCCGTGGTATGAAACTTGTCTCATAAAAGAAAGCACAAGAAAGAAGAGAGAGAGGGAGAGATAAGGAGGGGGGAGAGGGAGAGAGAAGGAGAGAGAAAGAGAGAGGGGGAGAGAGAGAGGCACAGAGAGAGAGAGATTCTCCAAGGCTCAGAGAACATCACAGAACAGGGGACAGAAAGAATGTAAGAGCCAGAGGAAGGAGTGAAGTATGTGGAACGCTGTCTTCTGGGCACAGCCTTTTCACTCTTGAACTCACAGCAGCTATGATTACTTGCACAAAATTGAACCTGTCAACATCATGTCATGTAATAAGAAGGGACTCACAAGGCCCTACCCTTCCCTGAGGATCTCTAGGCAATTAATTAGTTACTAGGGAAGGGAAAATTTTCTTCGGTGCTATAGTCACTGGTAAGATGCCCATGTTTTGTAAATAACATCTAACCTAATAAGTAACCCCCTAGTGAAATTCATTGAGTCATCTTGTTTCGTTGGTTTGTTTTACTTTGACTGATCGATCAACTGATTGACTGTTTTGAGACAGGGTCTCACTATGCCGCACTGACTGGCCTAGAATTCACTATATAGACCACCAGGCTAGCCTCAAACCCTCAGAGATCTGCTGCCCCTGCCTCCCAAGTTCTACGATTAAACGTGTGGGCCACTAGGCAAGCACTTTACCACTGATCTGCATCCCCAGCCTTCTTTGGGTCATCGAAAGAAAAAAACATAAAAGCAGAAGAGGAACTATTTGAGGAATCAGTGAGAGGCAGAAGGGATAAGAGAGAGTAATTGGGGAAAATGTAATCAAAATACATTATATTCAAGTACGAAAATATCATAATGAAACCCATTATTATATATAACTAATACATATTAATTAAAAACATTAAAAAATCTTTAAAAACAATCAAGAAACCTCATTTCAGGATAGTATTCCTCTAAATTACTTTCCTGAATCATGATTCCAGGGCTGTGCCTGCCATTGTACAAAAGACCCCTTGACTTTTCTTGCCTACAAAACATTTTATTGGAAGTTGGAGAAGGTGACACATGCTGTAATTCCAGTACTCAAGAGACCGAAGCAGTAAAATCGGGAGTTTAGGCCAGCATGGGCTACATAGCAAGACCCTGTCTAAAAACACTAAAATAAAATTCCAAGCCACAGATAACACTCAAAGTAAACATGATGCTGATGTCTTCTGCGGGGAGGTATTGTTACGTTTGCCACTTTATATGATGTTGCTCTGCCTATAAAAGCTGGACAATGTCTGTATTTTATGAATAGTTCTAACTTCATTTTAACTGATAGATGTAGAAAGATCCAGAATTTGAAGGTTCAAATGAGTCAGAGAAGTGTATACTCATTCTTACATAAGTCTTGGCAAGTTATGAAAGTTGCTAGCTTTCACTTTCTTTTTCCCAGAACTGAGGAGTACTTCTGAGCCTTGAAGATGCTAGACACTCTACCACTGAGTTCTACCCCTAATCTTTTTCTATAAAGAGTCCAATGTAGTCCTAGCTGACACTGAACTCCTGATCCTCCTGACTCCACCTCCTGGGAGCTGAGACTGCAGGTATGTGCCACCATGCCAGAATTCCCAGCCCTCTTTTTTTTTTTTTTTTTTTCTGGTCTTTTTGAGACAGGGTCTCCCTGTAGCCCCAGCTGTCCTGGAGCTCACTATGTAGACCAGGCTGACCTTGAACTCACAGAGATCTGCCTGCCTCTGCCTCCCAAGTGCTGGGATTAAAGGCATGAGCCACCATGTCCGGCTTTTTTTTAATATTTTATGTGTATGAGTGTTTGCCTACATGTATGTAAGTGCACCAGTGGATGTAGGAGGTATAATACCAGAGAAGGCCAGAAGATGTCAGGTCCCTGGAAATGGAGCTACAGATGGCATGCTGGGAACAAACCAGGTCCTCTGGAAGAGCAGCCAGTCTCTTAACCACTAAGCCACCCCTCCAGCCGCTCTGTTGTTTTGTTTTGTTTGCTTGCTTGCTTGTTTGCTTGTTGTGGGTTGTTTTGTTTTATTTTTTGAAACAGGGTCTCACTATGTAGCCCTGGCTGGCCTGGAACTCATAGAGCTCCACCTGCCTCTGCCTCTCGGGTGCTAGGGTTAAAAGCATGCATCACCACACCCGGCTTTTTTCTTAAATTATTATTTATTAGTGTGTGTGTGTGTGTGTGTGTGTGTGTGTGTTTGTGTGTGTGTGTGTTGTGTGTGTGTGTGTGTGTGTATGAAGGTTATAGGGCATCTTTGTGGACCTGGTTCACTCCTTCTATCTTTAGATGGGTTCTGGAGATCAGAACTCAGATCAGTCTTGAGTTCTTGAGTGGCAAGTGTCCTCACTAGCTGAGCCATCACAGTGGCCCTTTTTACTTTTAATTTGGAGACAGGGTCTTACTAAGTTGCCCAGGCTGGCCTTGAACTTGTAATTTTTCTGCCTCTGTCTCCTAAGTATATTGGATTACAGGCCTACATCACCAGGACCAGATTCTTATCTTTCTATGGAGATGATAATACCTACCTTGAAGGGTTGAGGTGAAGATTACATTAATATAAGTAAAATTTCTAACACAGTACCCAATGTATAGTGGTTCTCAATAAATTACTGTTTATTAACTGTCATTATCATCACCACTAACATGATCATGTGTTTGGGTTTCACAAAGGCAATTCATAGAAAGACCTAGAGAATGTCAATACTTTCAAAAGTTACAAACAGACCTGGATAAGGTAGCACACACCTGTAGTTTGGTATAGGAGGTTGAAGCAGGAGGCTGGAGAGTTTGAGGTGGTTAGCCCATAGTGAAACCAAGTCTCAAAAAATGTTATAAATAGAATCTTTATCTACTGCTTTTTTTTTTTTTTTTTTTTGGTCTTTTTGAGACAGGGTCTCCCTGTAGCCCAGCTGTCCTGTATTCCCTGTAGCGGCCATGCTGGCCTGCAATTCCCAGAGACCCGCCTGCCTCTGCCTCCCGAGTGCTGGGATTAAAGGTGTGTGCCACCACGCCCGGCTATCTACTGCATGTTTTTCCTGCTTCTAATCTTTTAGTTGGATCAGCAAATCATATACAGAGTGTAAGTCTTACCTATGGCTGTATAATATGCAGCAAAGCCGGTAAACCGTTCTTCATTGGAGAAGTCTGACTTAAAGATCACTTGGAGTTTATTGTTTGGGATTTGGAACTCTTCTACAATGGGGGAGTTGGGTCTCTTGCTGGTCCTCTGTCCACAGAGTTTCCCTTCTACGATGCCTCCTGATATTATCTAAGAGAGTCAAAAGTCACTAGGAAAGGATGATATTTTGGTTTGGAGGTGAGAGTGAGGTGAGCCATACCACCACCCCACAGGACCACTAGACTCTACACTGCCTCCCTCTTATTCCTCCACTCAGCTCTACCCTTCCTTGTGTTCTTGTAATATACCTGCACTGAGTCATAGTCACAGTTCTCTGACAGTTCTATGTCCAGGTGGGTGAAGTAGAGATGAATCCCAAAGCCTTCTGGAACTTCTATGTCCCAAGTTTTCTCTAGCTCATTGGGATATATTTGAGGATAGTTAGGGGACAGGATCTCCCCATACATGGTAGGCTCGGCAGAAGATGATGCCAAAAGTGAAAACAGGAAAACGCACCTGTGGGAAGAAAAGCACAGTGAGGTGGGGAACCCACATACCAGTGGCTTCATGCAGAATTCCAGCATTTTCTCAGGGAGAAGGAAAAGGAAACAAGTCATGGAAAAGATTCAGGTTGAAAGTGTTGAAATAAGAAAACGGGCTTCAGATCCAAGAGGGTTTTTTTGGGTTTTTTGTTTTGTTATTTTATTTTATTTTATTTTATTTTTTTTTAGAGACAGGGTCTCCCTGTAGCTCCAGCTGGCCTGGAACGCTCTATGTAGATGGGATGGGGGCTGACCTTGAACTCACAAAGATCCACCTGCCTGTGCCTCCCAAGTGCTGGGATTAAAGGCATGCACCACCACACCCAGCTCCAAGTCCTGTCTTAAGAGGATGCCAGCCTGGGCTACATAGCAATATGAGGGGAGGGGAAGGAAAGGAGAGGACACTTCATGCACATCTCTATAGATCCATGATCACTTACCACATCTCTGATGATTTGCCCATGTCTCTGGTCCTGGCTTTCTGGACCTCTGAACCTTGGCGCTAAAGGGTGGCAGGCCTGGCTGTCTTTATCTAAGAAATACAGGCCCCTGGTGTGGTGGTGAGGGGCCACCTGGGGGTTCAGTTGTCACCTTTGTAAGAATACCACAGAGATAGGGTCATATCAGTAACCACCATCACATGATCCTGGCCTCTCACGCCCTCCCGGTGCAACTTCATTTTTTTCTTGACTGGAACTAAATCTTACCCATTGCTTCTCTGAGCCTTCTACCAATTTTTCAGCAAATGAATGCGTTTCTCCCAGTTTTCTTTCCTTTCTACTCCTGGGACAACCTCCGGTTCCCTTTGTCAGCCCTTCTCCTGCTCTCACAGAACAGTATCTCCATTTTCCCCCGGGTTTCAGGAGGCTGCCCATCTTGACCATCCACCTGGGACATTCCCCTCCTCTTTCTAACTGTCCCCTTATGAAAGGCCAGAGCTCTTTGCCATGTTAATTGCAAGTGTTTCTGTGGATGCCCAGGTGGCCACTGATAGAGGACCGGGGGTGGGAAGAGACCTTGAGAGAAGTCTAAGAAGAGGGAACGTAGTGTTTGGACTATAGCAAGGGGCAGCTGAAGGGAAAAAGAAGTGAGGAAAATAAATGTCCAACGTTAATCTTCCAGGGTTTGTTTATTTGCTTTGTCCTTTACTAAAGAGGCAAGATATTGTCCCACAATTCTGGGAACAATCTTCCCCAAATTATTATCCCTGAAAACCATGGTGCATGGTAAGATGCTGCAGGGATGGGTGGGACCAATCTATAAGGAATCATTTGTCTCTGTTCTGCCTTGTTTTAACTCAGCTCCTTCCAATCCTCCATCTTTTCCCCAAATCTTTTTTTCCACAAGATTCTGTCTTTCCTATTTCCTCTATCAAAACTTTGCTCTTTCTTTTCAGGTTTGCTTTTAAGGTTTTTACCTTCAGAAGCTGGTGGAAGCAAGTGGGTCAGTCTCCTCTCTCCGGCTAGTGATCATGCTGAGGCAACCTTGGGGTTCCCGATAGGGGTGGCCTCTGCAGGAAACGCAGATCAACCTCCCTGTTCTGTCTGCTCATAAGATTCCCTACCCGAGTGTGCATATCTGAAATTCCCTGATCCAAACAGAGGGGGCTGGGAGACCATGGCATGGGAAGGGGTAACTGAGCCTTGATCTTGGAGCTCCCTCTACTTTTAAAATGAGAACTGCATCCGGCCTCCCTGCCCTAGTCCTCTATCCAGATCTCCAACTGGAGAACAGAAGAATGGGGAATTTCAAGATTGCCTAATTCTTTCTTTCAGCCAAAGGGTGTGTTTCAGAGTTTTCAGGGAAGTCAGGTGATTTATAGAAAAGGGAGGACGATCAATTGGAGGGGGAAACCAAACTCAAAAGTTCAACCCTCTAGCTGTGTGAGTCACAAATTAAGGGAGAGTCCTTAGAATTAAGGAATCATCTTTTTGTCCAAAGTGCATGGGCTTGTAGAGGGATGGCTCAGGGCTTAAGAGTGGTTGCTGCTCTTGTAGAGGACCTGAGTTTGCTTCGCAGAACCCATATTGGGTAGCTTACAACTGCCTGTAACTCCAGCTCCAAGGGATCTGACACCCTCTTCTGGCCTCTCCCTGTATACCTGCATGTATGTGTCATACATACATACAGACACACACAGATAAATTAAATTTTTATAATTAAATTCTTTTAAAATGAAGTGCAACCAGGAGTGGTTAGATGGTTTAGTGGGTAAAGGTGCTTGCCTCCAAGCCTGACAAACTGAATTGACATTTCTCAGGACCTACACAGTAGAAGGATAGAACCAACTCCTGCAAGTTGTCCTCTGCATGGCCTATGGGTATCTTTAATCTCTCTCTCTCTCTCTCTCTCTCTCTCTCTCTCTCTCTCTCACACACACACACACACACACACACACACTAAATAAATGTAATTTTTTTTCTTTTTGTCTTTTTGAGACAGGATCTCCCCCTAGTCCCAGCTAACCTGAACTCACTATGTAAACCAGGCTGGCCTTGAGCTCACAGAGATCCGCCTGCCTCTGCCTCCCGAGTGCTGGGACTAAAGGCATATACCACCACACCTGGCTAATAAATGTAATTTTTAAAAACTTTTTAATAAGCCAGACATGGTGGTACATGCCTTTAATCCCAGCACTCTGTGAGTTCGCGGCCAGCCTGATCTACATAGAGAGGTCCAGGCTAACTGGGGCTACAGGAAGACCCTGTCTCAAAAGGACCAAAAATAAAAAATAAATAAAAATAAAAACTCTTAAACTAAAAAATAATGCAGCCTGCCTTCAAGGCAAATTTAACGGTTGAATAATGACCAAATACCAATTGAGCAGTAAAGGAGACTTTTATTCTTGGCCAAAAACTGAGGTGAGAAGCTTTGTGTGAGTGCAATCTCAACAATTAGAAGGCAGGGCAAGAACATCACTGCAAGTTCAAGGCCAGTTTGGTCCATATAGCAAGTTCCCAGGCCAGCCAGGGTTACATCTTGAGAACTTGTATCATAAAAAAACAAACAGGGGCCAGAGAGATGGCTCAGCAGTTAAGAGCACCTGCTGTCCTCACAGAGGACCTGAGTTTGGTTACCGGAGGCTCACAACCATCTGTAACTCCAGCCCCAGGGGATCCAATGCCTTCTTCTAGCCTCCAAGTCACCTGTACACACGTAGAATATGCACACAGATACAAATAAAAATAAATAAGATTGTGTGGGATGTTCTGTATGATATACACACAAAAAAAATCAACAATTTTTTTAAAAGACATATTCGAGGAAGAAACATAAAAATTTACTTCATGTTAATTAGTAGAGGTGATAAACATTATCAGTGAAATCTACCAGATTTATATGCATACTCAGGTACTAAGGATCTGAGTGTAACCAACTGTGACTAGTAATAATCAGATACATAAGAGATTAAAGACACATATGCAAACATTTAAGAGTTGGTAGCATTAAAAATATAGGAAACAGCATATTTTAAAATGAAATGGAGATCTTCTTTAAAGGGTAAAAACTCATTGTCTTGCAGGGTTTATACTGAGTTCAAAGTTGTATAACTGTATTAATTCAACTGTGAACCTAAAAATTTACAGCCACTTTTGAAAGAGATGTATCCTTGCTCTGGAATTAAATTTTTTTAATATTTTAATTTTTTTAAATTTAAAAAATAAATAAATCTTTAAAAAATAGAAGTGGGAGATACACTCTCAAATCAGCTTCTCTAAAAAGAAGTAAAGGGACACGTTTATAAAGTGGAGAAACATTTGTATATTTTTCTGGGGATGGCTGCAACTTTTCAGGGAATTCAGGTATCATCTCTCCTCTTTTGTGGTTTGTTCTGGTTGTTGCCATGGAAATTGATTGTCGTGCTACTGGGGATGGGGTGTATCATTTAGCAGGCAGACGAGATGTCAAGGAGGTTTTCTTTTGGTCACCCTGGCAGGGGTCTTAGAACCAACCAATTTCAGCTAGCTCACCTGGAAAGGGACTTTTGGCCTTCAGGAATCCTGTCCTCAAAAACAAAAATGATTAGGAAAAGGTAGATATTCAGCTAGGTCGCCAAGGTAGGACTTCAAGCAGCACTAGCTTTGCTTCCCTGGTGGGACTTAGATTCATCACCTAATTTCTCAGCTTCCTCAGATCACTGGGGATGTGGCTCAGTGGTAGAGGTTCATGCGGAACATGAAGCCTGGGTTCAATCCTTAGGATAAATTCAAAAGAAATAACATTACCATGAGCACTGTTTAGGTGTTCTAGCTGAATCTGCACTCCTTAAACTTGTTTTGCTTTGAAGATAAACGCCTATAGGTCAGAAGTTCCATTGACCAGTAAACAACCTCTAGCTCTATCACAATCCCATCTGCATGCTAAAAGATACCCCCAGCAACACCCATGACAGCTTACAGTTGCTGTGACCGTTACTGGAAAGAGATACAAAAGCAGTTAAAAAAAAAAAAAAAAAAAAAAAAGGCAGCTCCAAAATTCCCAGGGAAAAATCCCTGCCTGTTTCCAGAAAGGACATGAATATACGGCCCCTGTATAGCCTCTCCTTTCCCTCATTTCCCCTCATTTCTGACTTTCTTCTCTTTTTTTGACAGGGTCTCCCTATAGCCCCAGCTGATCTGGAACTCACTATGTAGACTAGGCTGACCTCAGTCATACAGAGTTTCACCTACCTCTGCCTCTTGAGGGCTGGGATTAAAGGCATGTGCCACTACACCTGCTCCACCACTTCTTTTTAAAAATACTTTATTTTTATTTTATGTGTATGATTGTATTGCCTACATGTAGGTAGGTACATCTGTGTCCTGCAATGCCCTCAGAGGTCAGAAGAGGGCATATGATCCCCTGGAACTGGAGTTATGGACAGTTGTTAGCCTCCACGTGGGTGCTGGGAGCCAAACCTGGGTCCTCTGCAAGAGCAGTCAGTCACTTAACCACTGACCCATCTCTCCAGCCCATTATTATTTTTTAAAATATTAATATTTATTATTTTTATTTTATGTGTATGAGTGTATTGCCTGCATGTATATAAGTGCACCCATACAATGCAATGCCCGAGGAGGTCAGAAGAAGGCATTGGATCCCCTGGAACCTGAGTTCCGGGGATGGTTGTTAGCTGCCATGTGGGTACTGGGAATCAAACCTGGGTCCTCTGTAAGAGCAGTCAGTGCTCAACAACTGAGCCATCTCTTCAGCCCCTTCCCCCCACCAATTCTTTGACTCTTCATCTATAACCTTTCCACTCATAGGAGTCGAGATGCTGATTTGAGAGTTTGCTTCCCACTTCTATTGTTGACTAAGAATAAAAGTCCTCTTCACCACTCAACTAGTACTTGGTCTTGTTATTGGCTCCATAATTCTAAGAGGGAAAAAGGACCCATTTGAGGGGCAAAAACTGGCAACAACAGTATCAGTTATGTCTACTCTACCTGGCCACTGGGGACCTAATGAAGCTGAGTGAAAGACATTTACAACCTGTGGAGCAAAGTTAATTCCCATGGGGCTCGAGAGCTGACTCAATCCAGCACTGGTTGCTCTTGCAGAGGACCCAGGTTCAAATCCCAACACCCACCCACATGGCATCTAACAACCGTCTATAACTCCAACTCCAGGAGCTCTGACCCCCCTCTTCTGGCCTCCACAGGCATTGCATGACTCATACACATAAAATCAATTAATTGGGGGGGGGGGTCTTTTTGAGACAGGGTCTCCCTGTAGCCCCAGCTAGCCTGGAACTTACTATGTAGACCAGGCTGGCCTCTGCCTCCACAGTGCTGGGATTAAAGGTGTGTGCCACCACTCCTGGCTCCTAAATAAATATTTTTAAAGTTAATAAATAATTTTAAAGTTAATTCCCATGTTGGAAGAGAATGGTGAGTCTATCATGAAGACAGCAGGCGCAGGTTCAGTCCCAGGTCTGATTCTTCTCCATGTTCTCTGTGTTGAGCAGTGTCATGCACAGAGCAGAAGTACATGGAACCATTGGGTGTTTTTTTGGCTGCTTAGCATTTGGACCTCTTTGTCACATTTGAGAAGTTCCTGGCCCTAAGTCTTGAGAGCAAAGCTGAGCTTCCCTAAAGGAAGATGCAGATGCAGGGTGTGTCCTCACCCCCACTCCTCATTGCAGCAGCCTGGAACAGACCCACACATGCACACCCCATCCACGGCTTTGCAGTTAGAGGAAGTAATGTCAAGCAGTGGGGACCACAGGCCAATGAGCTGGCTCAGTGAGCAAAGGTGCTTGCCACCAAGGTGCATTGTTAGATGTAGGAGAGCAGAAAAAGGAAGGAGTTTAACGTTTAGAAATAAGAGTCAGGCGGGGAGTGGTGGCACATACCTTTGATCCCAGCACTCAGGAGACTGAAGCACGTGGATCTCTGTGCAAGTCCAGCCTGGTCTACTTGGTGAGTTCCAGGCCAGCTGGGACTACAGGGAGACTTGTCTCAAAAATACCAAAAAATAAAAAGAGATAAGAGTCAGAGCCAGACCTGCACCAGGCAAGGAATGTGCTCCCTGGATTCAGGAAGCCCAGGAAAGGGCTGATAGCTTTTCCTCAAGGAATGATTATCTGCCAATTAAAGAGGG